GATCTTTCTGAAGTACTGTCGACAGCTTGCAAAGTTGAATGACAAACCTGAAGCTCAAATAGCAAAAACTACTTGGGATATCAAAGTTCATGCTCACTGTCCAATTCAGTCTAAGCACTGCCTGAAATATATATTTTTGAACAGTGGATGTCGTATCAGACAGGAAAAAAATGCTATCAATAAGTGTTTAGGGGAAAGTAGATCGACGCTTAAAACCATAATTCCTTTCCTACTACTTCTTATTTATTCTTTGGGTTGTGTACAGTTGTAGTGATCTTTTCTTTATATGTAGCACTTACAAGAAAAGAATCAAAGAACTGAGTACAAGAGCCGCTTGTTGTTGTAGTCGTAGTTGGATGTCTTGCATGACCAACAGAAAGGAGCACCGAAAACGACCATAATGGCTTCCTCCCCAGGCGTGTGGTTTGCTTGTAAAAAAGGCTATTGTTGCCGCAGATGAATGCTCACCGCAAGACCTGGGTCAAGCGCCAGGAGGTCGTTCCTTGCAGACCGAAAACAAAGATAAGTCTCCCCAGCGGCAACAGAGCTAGCTTCTTAGCACGGAGACGAAGACGTCAGGAGAAGACATAAGGCAAATCTACACCACGGGGCAATGCGCACAGCCAGTTGTGCCTGACCAGGAGAGTCGTCGGATGCGAAGAGATCGACAGTTGTGCCTGAGGATCCCACCAGCACGGGGAAATCAAACGGGTGAGAATCTCGGCTGATGCATTCGTGTAGGAGTCGGAGAGCTATAGGAGGTGAGGCAGTCATGGCGGAACCTGATGAGCTATCAGAGGCGAGGCGGCCTGGCGGTCGTGCCAGAACCAGAGAGTCGGCGGCAGCAAGCGGCTGGCGGGCAGAGCCGTAGGAGTGGCATCACACAGATATTGCTGTCCAGCCGGTGCACCCCATGACGGGGAGAAGATAGGTATTTTTTTTAAGATTGTAGAGGAATCAATGTTTGATTGTTTTGGAGAGAGCACGTGATGTAGTTGTAGTCAATGCAATGCCAAACTGGGGCTTTTGAAGGACGGGTTATATGCTTTAATATGGAGGAATCTTGGTGGCATCGGGGAGTTGAAGGGAAAGGGTGTAATGGCGGCGCTTTTGAGTTCTGGCCTGAGGAGACGTCCTAGTGAAACTTTAATAGAGAAGGAGATGAAGGATTGGGAAATGTAATCTGTTACGCTTAAAACAATTATTAATGCACATGTAATGGGCCAAGTGGTTTACCGCTAGGCAAGAGGGTGCTGGATTCGTTCTGTACGTTGGTGTCACGCATTGCCTGTTCAGAGTTGATGTCTTGCTTAATTAGGCATGCGGACAGAGAGGGGTTGTCGTTACACACATCTGGGAGAGATGACGTGGCTGGATGGCTGAGGTGGCATAGCTGCATGTCAAGATAAATATGTTAGTGGGGATGAATCTCTTAGATAAAAAGGATTTGCATAGAGGTAACCTTGGTATGTTTCAATAACTTTTTATTCGAGACTAAAGTTACAGCTTTGTTTATACCTAAGTTATCAGGTCTATGATGTATGAGTTACCATGCTATTGACAAAAAAGTTACCGAAGGTATATTTCATCAACAACCCTCCCCCACCCCTCACCACCGTCGTCACAGTTACCAGGACTGGGCACATAAGTTATCAGGTCTGCGATGTGCGAGTTATCATGTTATTCAAACAAAAAGTTACCAGGGGTATATTTTATCAACCACCCTCCCCCCACCCGGTCACCAAATTTATGAAAGACGGGTACATTAGTTATCAGGTCTATGATGTGTGAGTTATCGTGATATTCACATAAAATTTATCAGGGGTATATTTCATCACCCCTCCCTCGCGAAAAGTACCAGGACCGAGGTGCATAAGTTATCGGGTCTCCGATTGTGTGAGTTACCATCCCTATTCACACGGAAATTACTGGGGGATACTTGATCACCACCCCTCCCCCCATGCCAAAGTTATGAGGACCGTGGTACATAAACTATCAGGTCTGTGATGTGTAAGTTATCAGGGTGTTCGTATGTAAGTTATCAAGTCTGTCACGCGTTAATGACCATGTTATTCACACGACATTATTGGGGGATGTTTCAACAAAAAAACCAGGTCAAAAAAATCACTGTGAGTGGCGGAATCATTGACCTGGCCACTAATTTTAATGTTCAAAATCATGTTAACCAAGAACAAGTAGCATGTAACTTGTTTCAAAAACAGCAAGTCTGAAGTCGGGCTCGTAGTTTGTGTCGTAGGAATTACTACTTGAGGTACAGGGTTCAATTCTTATCCGGCACAGGAAGCTATCAAATTTTTTTGGAACGTGGGCAAGGATGTGATTGGTAAATGGTCCTCTTACTTTGGGAACATCGGCCGATGGGATGTGATCATGTGAGGAAAAAAAGTAGAGGGAACGGGCCTGCTTCGGGAAAAAAGGAAGAGGGAATAGGCCTGCGTCGGGGGAGGGGGTGGGAGAGACGTGGGCTGTGCAGGCGATCCGGGCGAGATGCTCGAGGTCATGCAATCCACAATGAGCAATGATCAGGTCGTACGGATCTGTCGCTAACATCCAGTCGACTGGAAATTAGCTTTCTCGTTTAATTATACAATAAATAAAATTTGCATATTTCCCTCGCAAAATATTACATTTCGCAACAGCTACATGCTACATTTACTAGTACGCATAAGGATCTTGACCCAAACTAATCCATAGGATGAGTCTTGGAGTCTTGGTTGGTCTCCGCTTGTTAGACCTTGGTGGTTTTGGCACCTTGGTTTCTAAACCGGCAGTGGACTCCCGGATGAGCTGGGAGCTCCTATTGGATGCCAGCATGCGTCCAACAGTAGAGCCTTCATTGAAGCGCGTGCAAACAGGCTGGCCCATTGGCAGCATCGAACCTAGAATTCACGAAAAACAAAAGGTGGCGAGTGAAGTCGAACTCCCGATCATTGGTATCGGAGCACACTTCCTTACCACTCGGACTGGTACTAGCTATGGTATCAGATCCTTCTTTTTTCAAAAAAAAAAATTAACATTCTTGGAAAAGTTGTGAACAAAATTTCTTGAAAAAATACGAATACTGTTTGAAAATGTGAACGAATTTTAAAATTCAAAGAAAACCTTTAAAAGGGAACAAATTTTGAAAAAATAAACGGAAATTGAAAAACATGAACAACTTTATATGCCCTGAACAATTCTGTCATATACATTGAACAATTTATAAATACACATTGAACATTTTTGTGATATATGCCCAAAAAATTTAAATACATGTTGAACATTTTTATGATGTGCGGTGAACAATTTTCAAATACACAGTGAACATTTTTTTAAGAGACGCTAAACATTTTGTTAGTATACAGTGAACATTTTCTTAAATATATGATGAACATTGTTTTAATATATGATGAACTTTTTGTATAATACACAATAAAATAAGGAAAATAAAAAACAAAAACAAAAACAAAAGATGGAAGAAAAACCATAAGAAAAGCTAGAGAAAAAGAAAAAAGAAAAAAAATGTGATTAGAAACAAAAAGGAAGAAAACCCGTAAAGTGAAAACAGAAAAAATAGTAAAATAAAAAAATGGGACAAAACAATTGAAAACCGGCCAAACCGGTGAAAAAACAGGAAGCAAAAAAACATAGAAGAAAAATGAAAAAAAAACAAGCAATGGGGAAACAGCAGCGAACCAAGTCCGTACATCGGCTGGCCCAAGTGGCGACTTGCTTTAGCGAAGGCTCGTCCTCTTGACGCCTGCGGCCGTCAAATAGGATCTGCTGGATGATCTCCCCAATAGCGGAGCTTGGGCGGTGTTCCAGGTGGGCAAATGGAATTTGAGGGCAAGAAAACAAGTTTTGGACTGGTTTTAGAACATATTTAGGCCATTTAACAATGGGTATTCAGAAGAAACAAAATCTAAGGCTAGGAAGAAGTGGCCCAGAAGAAGCTCTGTCATTGTAGCTAGCTCGCAATCTTGCCTAAAAAAGGTAGCTCGCAATTCGATTGCGCGAGAGCTATATAAGTCAGTTGCAAGGCGGAGTTATGTCTCACCTCTGGCGGGTGCTCTACTAGGTCAACCCTTTACTGTAATTCGGCTTTTTTGGTTTCCACCGTTTTGCACGGTTGCCTTCCGTTTTTCATAGTTTTTTTTTGTTTTTCCCTTCAGGTTTCCTCCTTTTTTGTCCTTTTCATTGTATGTTATGTTTGATTTTCTTTGTTTTCTTTATTTCTCAGTTTTGGTTTTTATCTTCAGTTTTTACTAGTTTTCTACTGTTTTTACTAGGACATATAAGGATGTGAAACCAAGCTAATCCATTAGGATGTGAAAAAGTACGGCTCCCTGCAGGTAAGCCATGGCTAGGACTCGCTGTGGGTGGCACATAGTCGCACCCATATAATTAGGGTGCAGCGAGTTCAACTTGATGCTTGCACCATTGATGCTATATATGGATTGTCGGTCAAGGATGCGTGTGGAAAGGTAGCTGGATGGTGGAAGTGGTCGATGGGTCTAGACAACAAAGTTTATATAGAAAGTAAGAAATTATAATGTGCTTTATATGTGTGTGTATATAAAATCAAAAAGAAAAGAATAATATGTGAACACTGGTGAGTATAACATTAACCAGTACCAAAAAAGGTAATGCAAATTTAGAAGGATATACAAGTGCTGCACCGCAGCCAAAGTGGTTACGCAATGACAGTGTGTACGTTTTAGGATGTAAAACGAACTAAAAATCAAAACAGGATGTAAAACCAGCAAACGCAAAGAGCAACTACGTGTACGCTGGCGTTCGAAACTGATTCAAAGAGAGCTGTTTCCAGCTAGCCCCATCGCCGGACCAGGAGCAGGAGAACCTACAAATACCGGCCCATTCCCCATTGACCCATCATCTCTTTCTCGCTCCTCTCCAGCAGGCCATCCACCGCCTAGCTAGAGCTAGCTAACTACCTTCTCCGGCCGGCCAGTGTAAGCAACCAACTTACCAGAGCAACCATGGCGGCCGTGATGGTGCGCGAGGTGTTGTACATGTACAGCGTCGTGCGGCAGGCGTACGAGCGGCTCCTGTCCATGTGCGGCAGCCCGGAGAAGGCCCAGAACGCGGTGGCGCTGCTGGTGTGGCTGGACCAGGACACCATCTCCGCCATCCACTTCGTCCCAGCCATCGGCCCCGACGTAGTCGCCGTCGTGGCTGAAGAGGCCAACGCCATCCTCAAGTGCTTCCGCCACCAGTTGCCCATGCTCCCGCCCATCCCGCTCATCTCTGCGCTCTGCATGCAAGGCGGTGTCTGCATCGACCCGGGCTTCTTCGCCTTCCACCAGGACCTCGTCGTCCGCAGCGTCCCCCACTTCCTCGACGGTGCCGGTAAGTTCGTTTTCGATGACCGCCTGCACGTCCTGCTCCGAAAGTCCGAGACTGGGCTAGTGGGCAACCCGCCGGAGCTCATGGCACCCTAAACCCAGCCTGTGGCCGTGCCGGAGGACTGCCGTTCCATGTTCATCACCTTCTCCAAGGGCATGCCCCCGCACCGTGAGGAGATCTTTGAGTACTTCAGAGAGTAAGTGTGCACTGAGAATGATTAAGTTTATATATGTGGATCTATTAAGATCTGCATGCATGCATGCGTGATGATCATGTCTTATGATTGGAGGTGCATGGGTGCAGGAAGTGGGGTGACTTCGTGGTAAGGGTGCTCATGGAGAAGACGAAGGGGGGCCTCATGCCCATGTACGGCCGGATCATCTTCAAGACGGAGGCGATAGTGAAGCTGGTGCTCAATGGTGAGCGGCTCGTCAAGATCTCCATCGGGCATCGTCAGATCTGGCTCCGCAAGTATGTCCCCAGGCCAACCAAGGCCACTGTCTGATCGAGGAATCCATATAATCCTTGTTTCGTCTATGCTCAAGCTAGCTTGCTAGCCAGATCTACCAATTATGGATTTGTAGCGTACGAGGAATCCATATAATCCTTGTTTCGTCTATACTTCAAATAAGAATGTTGTGCTTAAGGGAAACAAAGATGTGCTAGGAAGAAAAAGTTACGTTGCTCTTAATTTCGCACTAAAGAAACCATTTGATCACATCATTGCCTAGCTCATTCGCGTCACCAAAACCTTGACAGGCGGTCACATCATCGCCTAGCTCCTTCGCGTGACCAAAACCTTTTTTTTGCGGTGTCGCGTCACCAAAATCTTGATGGGCAAAAGTTCTTGGTTTCGATTTGTAAATTACGCACGTCAGACCAAGCAAAAATATTAATTGTTACACAACGGTCACCCATCTTGCAACGTAGATCACTCCCCCCCCCCCATTGCCCTATTCTGTTATTTGGGCATGAGCACCTACATGCACCGTCCCCAACCATGGTCCTCCTCTTATTCTTCGAGTCAATCTCAACTTTACTTTAATCCTCTCTTTATATATAGTTCTCGTTATTGTTTGTCCTTTTTGGCGCATTACACCTCATTGGGAGCCATGTACGGTTTCCGCTCTATAGAGGGAGGCATTCCTAATTAAGCTTGGTGCTCCCTTGCCAGCATGGAAGAAACATTTGCCGTTGTCTAAATATCCTTCAGTTTCATCCTCAAATAATTGGTGCACAAAAGTTGTAGGTTTTTATTTCACATTGCATATATATCGACACCCTTGATTTTTTTTACTTCTTATTTTTTGACTATTGGATCAAGCCACATACATACCTTACTTGCATTTTATATTTTCTATAATTGCATGTGCTTTGTCATATGTTCTATACAAGGAAGTTTAGTTGTTTGTGCTTGAGCCAATTTAGAAGAAATAAAGAACCGTGTGAGACTGAAAAGAAAGTGTGTTCCTCCTTATTTAAGAAAATCATGTTACATGATTGCCTAGGTTGCCATCTCAGTATTATTTGCTTCCTCCCCACAAAACCTTGGCGTGCAAAAGTCCCTAATTGTGATTCGATACTACACATCTGACCGATCAAAAAGTACAATCATTATATATCAGTCGACCATGTCACGATATAGATCATTGGGTTCCACTATTTGGATATTGACCATCTGCTTACATACACCCACCACCCCACCCCCAACATACCACCGTCTAATTAAGATTGTTGATCATTTGTCGCTTGTCGGTATGGAAGGAACCGCCTTCCATTTTCTCAATATCCTTCAGTTTCTTTCCTAAACAGTTAGAGCACACAACTTCTAGATTTTTATTTCACATTGCATATTTACGAGCACCCTGATTTGTGCACATTGTTTCAAATAACAATGAATTATCTTTTTACTATTGGGTCAAATCACGTGAGACATGTCTGACTTGCATTGTATGTTTTCTATACTTGCATGTGCGCTTGCTGCTTCCATGCTGCCACTCAAGAAACCACATGTCACCTAGGTATCCTTTGCTTCCTCTCCTAAAACATTGGTGCACAAAGCTATTATTATTTATTCAAAATTGCATATCTGATAGAGCAAAAGCCATAATCATTATACAACGACCACCCATGCCACGACATAGATCCCCTGGTGCCATTGTTTGGACATTGACCGCATCTACGTCGACCTTCCGACAATGCCCACCTCCTCTAATGAATTTTCACCCATTTCCGCATATTCTAGTCCTCCCATAGTCCAAGTTCTTAGCTACTTTTCTTGGCGTGTGACACCTCATTTGGAGCCATGTACCATGGCTATAAAATCACCTTTTACTTATGGGACGCTAAACACCTCCATTGGCAGGTTCAGTGCATGTCATATGGTGCTGCCAATGATGCATTGGGTCTCCATCGAAGGGCACGTCATTCATCAGCAGAGATGGTAGACACTATTGAGTAGAGACTTTATACTTGTCAATAGGGACTTGGTATACTCTTTTTCACTCGTCAGCAGAGCTTTTTTGGGCATTTATATCTATTTTTTCTTTTGCGAAGTCCAATTCCTATGTTTAAATCAGTTTTAGCTGCTGAAATAGAATCTAATTGTGCTTTTTGTGGGCTAAACTTGCCAAAGTTGCGTTAATTAATAGAGAAATTAAATTGATCTTGCAAAAGGTTTTTAATTAATTTAGAAAGAATTGGTCTGAGAAACTAGATGATGCACTATGGGCATATAGAACTTCTTATAAAAATCCTATAGGAATGTCCCTTATTAAAATGGTTTATGGAAAAGCATGATTTACCTCTTTGATCTAGAACATAAATCTTATTGGCAATTAAATAGCTTAACTATGATTTCAGACTTGCTGGAGAAAAGAAGTTATTTAATATGAGTTCTCTTGATGAGTGGAGAACATAAGCTTATGAAAATGGCAAGTGTTTCAAAGAAAAAGATAAAAGATGGCATGATAAAAGGATTTAGAAATGACGTTTAAACATTGCTTTTAAATTCTTTTGTACAAGTCTCATTTCAGACATTTTGAAGGCAAACTTCTTTCCAAGTAGGAAGGTTGATATATCATCAAAGAAGTTTACCTTTCTAGAGCTATCAAGATAAATAACGCCAAAGGAGATAAACCAAAGGTAGTTAATGGGCAAAGACTAAAACATTATACTATAGGTAATCCCATTAACATAGATTCAGACGTTTTTCAAGTTATTAGACCGGAATTGCATACAAAAGAAACCATTCGAGAAGCCTCCAGAACCCGAAAAAAGGAATAGGTACGTGGTATGGTAAGTAGACTTATTTTAAAAATACATAAAATACTAATGTATCTGTCCATTTTGGAATATTTAATATTTTTGGGGGAAAAGAAGGAGCCTAGGATGCACCACGGGCCCACGCCCTGGTGGCGCCCCCTAAGGCACGCCCTTTGACTGTGTGGGGCCCCCGTACACCTTCATGACTTCGTCTCTTTCCCGTATGCTTGTCTCGCACAGAAAAAATTCCTATAAATTCCCCCGGATGTTTTGATATATGTATGAGAAGCTTTCCTGCTACTTTTGTTACAATCTTGTTTTTGTCAGGGTTTTCAGAGCTAGATGGCTATGTCATCGTCAAGCTCCTCCAAGGATCAGTTCTTTGAGAAGTCATCAACACTTATCTCCCTAGGGTTATGATGAATCCCAAAACCTTGGAGTGTAGGGATGGGGTGTTGCACATCAATGATCTTGAAGGGCCCAAGAAGGAGGGAGACAAGAAGGCTAGGCTTAGGGACGTGGAGCAAGAACTCTTCAAATGCCAGAGGATGGTGGAGGGTTGACTAGATGTAAACCACACCATGGTAACAGAATTGCTCCATGAACAGAAGTGGGAGAGTACCAAGACATGGGAGGCAATTGATCGCCTCCACGTCAAAGTTGAAGATCTCCAAGCTCAAATTTATGATCCGCATAATCAAAACTATGAGTATGAAACCAAGTTCAAGATTATGGGTTTGGCTACAAATTTCAAGATCATGGACTCCACCTCTTCTTTTATTGATGGCGAATTTATGCCTTGGAAGAAGGATGACAAGCGTGTTCCGTCACCACCGCCATCACCATAGAAGGAAACTTGAGTAGTTGGGTATCGGTGCCACCCTTAGATAGTTTCAAGCTTTGGGTATCACAACCTTTATCATTACTATTATCTATTATCATGGGTTAGTAAATTTTGTAGTATGAAATAGATTGCAATGTGCCCTATTGTTCCTTCATGTTTTAGTTGTATCCGATGTTGAGAGTATTTATAATAAAGAATAGCATGAGTATTTTGTTTGCTTTTCCTTTATTTATGTATCCTAGCATTGCAATTCAATTTCATATGCTGATCTAATGGGATTTAGTGTCTTCACAATGGGTTTAGGAAGTAAAATCTATCAAAATTTAACAAATACAACATTGGTCATTTGAACAATTAATGAATATTAGTACAAGAAAGACAAATCTCACATGAAAATATACTATCTTGAACATATCTTGGACATATTTTGTGATTGTGAACCCTCACATGCAAATATACTACTCGCACATCATTGGAGGTGCAACAAGGATGATGTAGAAGCCCTCCGTGATCGGAAAAGGCCTCTAGATGGGATCGCTGAAAAACAAAAATTTATGGCAGCAGAAAAAGTGTTTCGGGTGGCTCTCTATTGGCTTGGAATATTTGTGAATTTATGGAGTTGGAATTAGATCAAACAGAGCTGCATGGGACCCACGAGCTTAGGTGGCGCCCCCCTGGGGCACACCCGGTGAGCTTGTCGCTCTCCCGTAGATCTTATTGCCTCCTCCTGGACGTTCTCGGGTCCCTTCTGGTCCAAAAAAACCACCGCAAAGTTCCATCGTGTTTGGACTTTGTTTCGTACTGATTTCCTAAAAATCCAAAAATAAGCAAAAAAAAATTAGCAACTGGCACTATTCACTGATTTAATAGGTTATTCCAAAAAAAGATATATAATTGCATTAAAGTATCTAAGATTGGTAATATAATAGTATGAAACAATCAAAAATTATAGATACGTTGGAGATGTACCATTGGACAAGAAAGACAACGTAATGAGTTATATTTATGTATATTTGCATAGAAGTTATATTATCATGGATCCTCCAACATATGATATTTTTTATAATCACTGCTAGCCAAATACTTCCGCACTAAGTGGGAATACCACTTGTGCATCCAAAAACACAAAACCCAGTTTCTTCCCTAATAGTCCAGTATAACTACCTATGGATTGAGTAAGATCCTTCAAGTAAGTTGTCATCTGTGCAAGCAACAAAAATTGCCTTCAAGTATGTATGATCTTTTGTTGGAAGGGAAATAAGCTTTGTAAGAACTTGTGATGGTAAAGTAATAAAAGCAACAGAATGCTAAATATTGCTTACTATCACAAGGGGCAATGTTTTCATTTTGATTAAAAACTCACACATCCAACTCAAAAGTGCATGAAAACCTCTGCT